ATAAAACAACAGAATGTCGTTTTATTTTCTAATAATTAATATAAATTATTATAAAGTATAATAATTTAGTATTACTTTAGTATTGCATCGTTGGATCATAAAGAGTTAAATATGTTGAGTTCATAATAATATTTTATTCATAAATTAACTATAATTAGAATAATAACAACAATTACTACAATTATAATAGAAATAATTATATTTATTGTTTTATATTAATATACAGTATTATTCTGATATAACTTTTATTAATATTTGCTAAAACATGTTCTAAAACATGTATATAATTTGTGAATGTAAATTGTCAATACAAAACATGTTTTAGTATGAATTTACTCATATATTATATAATTTAGTGAATTAAACATAATTTTGGGTCAATTAAGAGACAGTGAGACGCGAGACATGACATATAAATTTAGATAAAATAACAATAATTGTTGTCCATTGAGTTCAACAAAACAAATTTATTTAGGATTTTATCTTCAAGAAAAATATAGGAAAATAATACATATTTTTGTAAACATTTTAGCAATGATTTGACAGAATTTAGTTTTTGTCAGTTTATTCCGATTCATATTATTTTGTTGAATAAATATTAATGAAATTAATCGCACATTAAAGTGAAATCTTATGACGAAAATAAATGAATCGTAAAATTTATCGATTAATGAAATGAAGAAAAGAAAGAAAATTGACGGTAAAAACTGGCAATTCATGAACACATAAGTGATTACATTATAATCCTATGAATTGATTATTAATTTATTAGACAAAGAAGTTTATAAAGAATTGGTTCATAAGTGGTGTCACAAACAGTCGATGAGATGAAAGCGTATACAACGGACCAAATGAGCGGACGAAACAATCCTGCCTTTCATGATGATAGTGAGGACATTATTGTCGAAGATTTACCGCCGGCTTTTCCTAAATACAAGCGGTCCATAGTTTTGCCCTCATTTCTCAAGGGTTTGGGTCTCAATAAGAGTAATGAAATCTCACTCATTGAACAGTCATCAGAGATACCGCCCCAGAGTCCCAAAGAAGTGGCGCCCAAAATGGACTTTTATGTCAATGAAATGATAAAAGAGAGGCGGCCAGACATCGAGGACATTCATCTGCCCCGTGAACTTAGGTCTAAGTTTAAGGTTAGATTACAATTTTAATGAATTAAATTATTAATATCTATATTCTTAATAAGAATTTCTTATGAATTAAAAACTGTTTGTGTTTAGAAAAAAGGAGAAGATATTGAAGATAATAATGAAAGTGAGAGTAATCCGAGTTCAAAGTTTGGATGGATTGATGGCGTATATGTAATATAGTTTATACGTTAATAACACTTATACCCAGATGTAAATTGTAATAAATATAATGATTAATCCATTAGATCCGAACAATGATGAATCTCTTCGGGGTTATGCTATTTCTAAGGATGGGTTGGATGGCCGGACAGGCGGGAGTCAGTAAGTGATTCAATTAATTTCTATCAAATAACATAATTATAAAAATAAAAAACTATTTTAAAATATATTTTAGTTTTGGCATTGGTTCAGATACTGGTGGCCACAATCATAACAGTGATCACCACAACATCAATGATAGCCCTTTGCACTAATGGAGACATCGGTGGCGGAGGAATATATTCAATGATATCGCGAACGGTTGGTCACGAGGCCGGAGGTGTTATAGGCTTTCTGTTTACTTTTACAAACGCGGCATTTGTTGGCCTCAATGTCTTGGGAACCGCTGAGAGTATAACAGACATTCTCAACGTATGTCTCAATAATTTGTGTCATATAATTATCTAAAGTGTATATTATTTGGACAGGTATTTGGAAAAGGCATTTGTGAAGTGCCTTCCGGTTTAAATGATATGCGAATTTTAGGCTTCATATGTTTGATCCTAACGGCGGCCATTCCTCTCATCAGTTTGCAGTTTGAGGCGAAGACAATGATGTTCTTCTTCCTGACACTCGTTATATCGCTCACCGATTACTTCGTCGGAGCACTCATTCCTCCCACAGAGAAACAACAGGGAATGGGAGTCGCGTATTGGCATAAGTATGTCATTGTTCCCAATCTGTTGCCCGTGTGGGAAGGCGCCACCTTCTTCAATGTCTTCAGCGTATTCTTCCCGTCAGTGACGGGTATATTCACGGGCGCGAGTATGTCGGCCGACCTCAAAGAACCGGCCTCTGCTATAACAAAGGGAACATTTCTGGCCATTGGCACCACATCCACGACATACGCTCTGATTGTTATATTCTTGGGCTTTACTGTTGTCCGCTATGCGGATGGAGATCCGAGTCAAATAATCTTTAACAACCAGACCTGTACGGCGCCCAACGGATGTGAATTCGGCCTCATTAACGACTACCAAACAATGGCCAAATCTGGGGCTTTGTATCACACGGGTATAGCAGTTGATCCCCTAATATACGCCGGAATATTTGCCGCAACCCTGTCCTCAGCGTTGGGCTGTTATATGGCTGCGCCCAGAATTTTTCAGGTCTTAGTTTTCAGTTATTTTATTTTATGATTTTATTACAAATGTGTTAATTTTGTAGGCCTTTTGTGACGACCATTTAGTGCCAGTAATTGGATGGTTTGGCAAAGGCTACGGTCCGGCCCGAGACCCCCGACACGGATATATTGTCACGTTTATAATTGGGGGCATTTTTGTGGCAATTGGTAGCGTTGATACGGCGAGCACCTGGATCTCTAACTTTTATTTAGGCGCCTTCTTTATGGTGAACTTTGCTTTGTTTCACGTCTCGTTAGTCAACCCAATCAGCTTTAGACCAAGTTTTAAGTTTTACAACAAATGGATTAGCCTTATAATTGGCCTCTTTTGCATTTGCCTCATGTATTTATTCGATCCTATATCAGCCTCTGTGGTAATAGGTCTCACTATTATCATCTATCTGCTTATGCTATTTGTGGATCCAGGTCAGTTTTCTATGACAAATTTTATTAAGAATTACTAAATATATCATAATTTTATTCAAAATGATAGCAAAGGCAAATTGGGGCACAGCGAACGATGCGTGTTGTTTTGATTGCGCCCGTAGTATAACATACCGGTTAAATGTGCAAGAGCATCACATCAAAAACTACAGGCCTATAATACTGGCTCTGAGCGGGAATCCCAAGAATCGTCAGGTGTTGGTAGATATGGCCGATAGGATGACCAAAAAGCACGGAATGCTATTCCTGTCGCACATAACTGAAGGCCCGCTAAGCTATAAGACCAGAGAGCGTGTGATCGACGGCCAGAAAGCGTGGATTAAGAGCGAAAAGATTAACGCTTTCTATAAACTCGTTGAATCGGATTCACTTTCCTGTCGCACATAACTGAAGGCCCGCTAAGCTATAAGACCAGAGAGCGTGTGATCGACGGCCAGAAAGCGTGGATTAAGAGCGAAAAGATTAACGCTTTCTATAAACTCGTTGAATCGGATTCACTGAGTGATGGCCTCCGAAGTCAACTCCACTCGACGGGCGTCGGAAAGTTTGCGCCAAATATAGTGATGATTGGCTATAAATCCAATTGGAAAACGTGCAAAGAAGACGATTTACGCGATTATTACGACACCATTCATAACGTATTGGAATCGCATTACTCTCTCATTATATTACGGGTGAAGGAAGGCATTGATTTCTCCGATTACTTCGTCGCCGCCTTTAATAACTACGTTACTGTTAACGACACCGAAAATGTTTTGAGTAATATTAATGTTAATTGCATAATTTTTAAGCCTATTGTATAAAATAATTGTTGTCTCGTTTTGAATAGATGCGAGCGATATATACTCCTTGTCCCGAGATATTGACGCTCAGACCGCTGGCAATAATACGCGGACAAGTTTGACACACATAGAGTGCCAACAGTTGTCCAATCGATTCAAATACAAGCAAAGGCCCGGATTTGTGGACGTCTGGTGGCTGAGCGATGACGGAGGGCTCACTCTTCTCATACCCTATATATTGAAAAATGAAAAACTTTGGCGAAAGTGTAAATTAAGGGTATTTAGTGTCACGGATGGCACTGAAGACACGAATCAACTAAAAGACGAGTATTTCTACACTATTCAACATTTAATACATTTGTTTTTAATGCAATTTTATTGTTTTAAAAGTTTATGTGAATTGTTGAACAAGTTTCGTATCCCATTCGCTGACGTATACGCCCTGTCCTATGAAAACGTTGATCCATCCGTTGAAACGTTAGTACAATAATTGTGTTTTTATTTTAATCATTAGTAAATTATTTCATTTTTAATAGTAAAGCAAAGTTTGATTCAATTTTGGAGAACTCCATGACTAATGAGTTAATGCCTATTATCAAGACATCCGCTAAAGAACTTATCTCTTTCAAAGAGCAGGTAAACTCATTAATGAGTTTTTATTTACATGTATTGTATATAAAGTATATGTGATTTCATAACTTATGCGAAATGAATGATTTGTGTATTTCAGACAATAAAAACACTGAAACTGAGGGAAATGTTAGTAAAGTACTCGAAAACTTCGACAATGATTGCACTGTAAGTGTTTTATAAGTTTTGAAATTTGTTTTATTACAATATTTTATAAATACCGGTAAATTGAAACACACTTTTCACAGGACACTACCCATACCTCGTAAATACAAGTGTTCGGCCACTCTATACATGTGTTGGCTGGAAGTGCTTACTTATGATATGCCACCCTTATTAATGATCAGGGGCAATCACGAATCGGTGCTCACATTTTATTGCTAAGTTGGCACACAAATTATCGCATTATTTATTACATCGTTATTAATATTCATTTAATACTTATATTGTGTGATGATTGTTAACAATCAAATTTTACGATATATTGGTTTATAGACACACTTCTATCATAAATTACCAAACGTTTTATTGATTAATAATTATTTTTATTTAATTCATATGTATATTAATTATGTTTTAATTAGCGGGAATGAAATTACATTTTAGCGATGTAATTACATTTACAATGTATAAACCTTTTTTGCTTTGCAAATAATCATTGATTAAATAATAATTTATGCAATTTATGATTATTATTGACATTATTTATATAATTCATATTCGTTATAATAAATTAATAAATATTATGTAACTAAACAAAAATTTGTAAATCATTTAATTATAATAAAAATAAATTGCTATATTACTTGCAATAGTTAGATAATTAAAATTGTTTTAAATTATCTAACCAAAATATTTTAATTTAAACATTAAATGCAATGTTTATATTCTGAATTATAAAATTATCAATTTTATGAGTTTTTCAATGTTTAGAAATAATTCTTATATAAAAATAACGTTTAATTTTACGAAATGTAAAATCTTTAATTAAAAACAGAGTAAATAATACAAAATTAATTAAATTTTAATAAATAACATCCATTTTAAAGGATTGTTATGGCATACAATTTGCATGTATATATAAGATAGTGATAATTTAGATCAATCACTGAATTTATTAATAGTTAACAATGAATTTAAGACTTATAACATTTATTGCACTATTATTAGCCCTAACCCTAAATGGTATGAATGAAATTAATTGATTCAATATATTTTGCAATTAATTTTTAGTCAAATAATTAAATTTAATCATGAATTTAGTTGTAGTGAATGCAGACGAGACGACAGAAGCGGAATCGACAGACATTTCCACCGATAGTTCATCAGATATTCCGACCGAAACGACGACCGAAACGACGACCGAAACGACGCCCAAACCAACCGCCAAAACGAAAGCCAAAACGACGACTAAAACGACGCCTAAAACTACTACCAAAACAACGACCAAAACGACGGCCAAAACTACTACCAAAACCACTCCCAAAAAGACTCCCAAAACTACGCCCGAAACGCCGTCCGATAAACCGCTCAAATCAAGTGCCGAAGAAGGAGAAGGGGAAGGAGGGAATAGTATACTGCAAGCGTCCATAACTATTACCAAAACAATGGCCAAAACGACACCGAAAACGACGTCCAAAATTCCGTCTGAAACGACTTCCGAAACGCCGTCCGATAATACCCTCAAATCAAGTGCCGAAGAAGCGGAAGCAGACGACGCTATACTGCAAGCGTTCAAAGAAATGGCCAAAACGACACCGAAAACGACGCTCAAAACAAC